TGATTAGATCCACAGAAACATAAGTACTTAAATTGAGGAAAATCTACAAAGCCACAAACATTATAAAATAAGATAGGTCATACCAATATTTTTAAGCTGAGAATATTTTTAGACCACATCCAAAAAAAATCGAATGCTATAAAGGAAACCAATTAACCGAAATTGTAGATAGCTTTTTTTGTGATTCTCCCAGCGTACTTCTTTTCGTGCTCCCTGGATTCCCAGCTTGAATTGCCATCGACAGGTGCTCATTGCATTCATTGCACAAACTCCCAGTAAAGCAGTCATTTTCCTGAATGTGTGTGTGCAGGATTGGAGGCATTATGCGTCCTGATTGTCCTTTTCGGTTTTTGTGGTCTTCGTTTTTCATTTGGCAAACTTTTGCATAGATAGACTGAGTAGAGTTTACCAATTATCAAAAATAGAATTTTAATTATACATTCTGAATTTGTATAGCTCCATAAAATTTGAAAGTTTTTCGCCCATAACCCCTGAGACAATTTCCCTTGAAAAAAACTTTCACAGACTAAATCGTTGCAAATTTTGTTTGTTAGTTTTCCGGGCTTGGATTGAGCCTTGCGATTCCATCGGTTTGTGGACTTTTAAGTACTTAAATGCCTTTAGAAAACTTCGTTACTGCAATTGAGATTGCCACAATGATACCGAGTAAGTTGTGAAATTGTTTAATGGAGCGTTAACATCTAAATAATAATGTAAAATAATATTTTAATAATAACAGAATAATTGCACTATTTATAATAATGTTTATTGTAATATAAATATTAAATATTCCTTTTAAACGTTTAATATAAAATTTTTGGAAAGGAAAACTCTCAAAAAACCACACTAAGATCAACTTGATTGTAGTTTTCATAAAAACCGTACCATGTGCGTAAAGATTTCTCAATTTGATTACATATTGTTATTAAAATAAACCAGATGTTGACTATACGAAACTTATTCTGCCCAAAAGTTTCGGTGAAAAAAACATTTAAAATTTTTGATATCAATTCCAAGAACTAATGGAATATTTGCACTTTAATAATTTTTAAGCTAAGTTCAAATATGTATTTACATATGTATATGCATGTGTATGAATGCGCAATTGAAATGTATACATACACATGTACATACAAATATATGTATGTAATTAAACTATTTGCTCAAGTTATTTATACGTACATATTTTTGTACGTATGTACACACTGTTGCGATAAAATAATATCACTGCGGCAATACAAAATGCACAAAAGCTAATTAAAACTATATTAGAATATGGTCTAAAAATTCGGTATCAGATTTTCGCGGTCATTTTTTCCGTATGTGCTTATCATTAATGTATTGTTATTCAGAAATTTGTATTAGAAAACACGATCAATTTATTTCAGCTGAATAGACAGAACGGGTTATTGTGTACATGAACTAATTCAAATTTAAATTTGTTTTGCAAATTATTTCAGATACCCCATTGTCGTAAATTGCTAAAAGTTTGGGTTGTGGCAATTATATGGTTTCCCCAAATAAACAAAAATGTACGTGCAAATATTAAAACAAAGGACATGGAAACTGACCCTTTCGAACCTATCCATAAATACAGTCTTAGAATCAGGCGAACAGACTCGTTTATCGCCACAGATACGAGCACCCACAATTACATTTCGGACAGATATACTTGGATATCCTGGGATATCCTTGGATTGGGCTGGCCGACGTTGGCCCAGCTCGTTGGTTATGTAATTAAGGTTTTTGCTGCCAGTGTCCTTAGATCCTTGGAGACGACTGATTAATAATTGCAGTGGTCGATTGACACTTAATAGCCTTGATTGCGAATACATTTGTGGGGCAGGCAAACCAGACAAACTAGACAAACCCAAGGAAACTTTCGTTCTTTTCGCCCAGCGTCCTTTGGGTCCTGCGCATATCCTTGTTATTATGGTTATGACTCGAACATAGCTGCTAATCACACTCGAAGGCATTACACACATTGGATTCGAAAGGCAAATAATAACGCACCAGAGATGGGTGGCAAATGAGTGGGAATACTCGGCCAAATTGATCCTTATTGAGGCAACAGGCAGCAGCTGTGTGTGTTTTTGTTCATGTTCGCCTCTTCGCATCTTACTCATTTGGTAGTAGCTCTGGCAACCTTTGACCGCCTTTCGCTGTAGTTCTTGTCGTTGTTGCTGCCCTGTGGCCCGTGGAAGCGGCAAATAGCAAAATGGAACAGCAAATTGAAGCAAAGGAACGTCTCGACCCGCCGTCCTCTTCGCCGGATCCTGTGGCCTCGTACAATGCGGCTTTTGGTCTCAGTTGTCCCAGGTCCTGATGCCAAAACGCAGCCATCGTTCTGCTTTTTGTCCTTGTGTTTCGCAGGCAGCACTTTTTTCGACGGCATTACAGGCTGGCGGATTCAAAGGATACTCTTTAGACAAGGTTAATTGGGTAGTAACGTGACTATATCGATTTTGGTGTTAGTTGACAGCTTGAAACTGCTTGCTTAAAAGTTTAATTCACTTTGAATCCACATTCCCCAATTTAAAAAAAAAATATAATAAAATACCCAATTCAAAGGATTTGAGTTTTATATTTATTTACATTTGATTTTATAATACTGAGAACTGTTATAAATTCTTGCAATATATTATCATTCCATAAAATATTTATATTGTAAGTCCATAAACTATTTATATTGTGTATCTGCCTAGACACGATTAATCCTTCATAATTTCCTAACTATTTCTTTGAATAAAAGAAACCAATTTTTAAAACAAACATTTAATAAGCAAAAGCATAACTTGCAAATGTTATGCTTAATATGTCTTAGATAAATTAAATTAAAGATTTAATTAATTCCAATGTTGTTGAAAAACTTCAATTTATTCTTTCATTATTCTTTAAAATTTCATATCAATGTCAAAGCAACGCGTTACAAGCTAATAAGGAATTTAAGACTTTGTTCCAGTTTGAAAAACGCAACGGTAGCCTGTGAAATTCTAGATATGGAATATAATTCTCATGTGGCCAAAAAAATTCGTTAATTTTAATCATATTTGAAGACTTTCTGTGGAAAAATAAGCAACCGAATCCCAAAGGAAACATCAAATCGCTTGAGGCTTAAAGAAAACCACATTCTCAACTTTTTAAAAACAGTTCCCACAGTCTGTGATCCAAGAATGTCATTTGACATTTCACCAAAAAAAACCAGACGAAATAAAATAAAATATTATGCGAAGAAGGCGAACAAAAAATGAAGACAGACTTTGTTGTCCTTGTCAGCGTGGCTACAACTTCCTTGGGCCAGGACGACGTCGGAAGTGGCAGCGGAAATGAGTAGAAAACATACAACTCACTCAAAGCTTCCGCTCTTTTGCGTCTCTTCCACTCGAATAAAGGGAAAATTTCATTTTGAGTGAAAATCAGGCCACACACGAACCCACTTCGGCTGCGTTCGGCTTGTGCTTCGTATTTCCACTCATCCGACATTGAGCGTTTGTGGAGCATTCCTAGAGATGCCAACTCAGCTTTAGGCGGGAAGAAGCTAAAAAGAAAATGCACTAAATTGATTTAATTAAAAAGAAAGGATCACTGAAAGTTTTTTATTTTATACCGGAAATTTTGTTATTTTCAGTTTTATCATACCCTTGCAGAGTGTATTATAATTTTAAGCAAAAGTTTGCAACGCAGTGAAGGTCACATTTCCGACCCAATAAAGTATATATATTCTTGATCAGCATCAGCAGGCGGTAGATCTAGCCATATCCGTCTGTCCGCCTTTCTGACTGTTTCTACGCAAACGAGTCTCTCAAATGAGTTTCTGTTGGGTGGATGGGTCTTTGATATCCTGTAGCTTCCATAGGAACAATCGGGAAAAAAGGAAATAAAATTAAAATTATTTCTTAACATAAAACCAAATTCTGCGATTTGTAGTATTCTTTTGCAAATTCAGAAACACTGTTTTACTTTTATAAAAATCGGAAGATAACGTCTACCGCCTGATACAGTTAAATTGGAACGATCGAAAAATGTATTGGAATATCAAATAAGCTTCATTGTTTAAAAAAAAAAAAAAATTAAAATCGAAAAATATTATTTTATTTTATTTTTTTTTTGGTAACAGCTCCAAGGGAATATAAACTTCAGTTTGCAAAGTTTGCTTCCTTTCTTGCTTATATTTTTAATGGATTTTATATCCTTTATAATTGCATTTGAAAAAATAATAAGGTATATATTTGTTTATATATTATTTTGATTAAATAATTTCATACTTACATTATATTTTAATTTCGTTTGGCTTTTAAGATCGACTTATTGTGTATACAAAGTAGGCTATTTGGTGAAGTCAATACATGAAATGCTAAAAAGAAAATAAAGTAAAATATATATGAGAGAAAAGTTAATAATTTTAACTAAGGAAAGCATTTTTTAAATGTTGTTCAAGAAAAATATTTATTTCGGCCTTAAAGTGAGTTCTAAAAATGTTGAACAAGAGTCTTTCATTGTACATTTGTCATTACAAGCCTAAAAATCAATTCGATTGCTCTCACTACAATTTGATTTAATATTTGTGTTCATAAGAAATTTAAAAATTACTTATAACTTACTTGCAAACACTAAAAAAATTTAAAAGAAAAATGCGGACCTCAAGCCGTAATTACTTTTATTTAATTATAAGAATTTAAATTGAATATGCCCACAAGAAAATGTTCAAATAGAAAGCTAGGCTGAATTGTAATTAATTGTATGCAATTAACTAGCCGAAAAATCATAAACAAAAAATTGAAAAGCATTTTATTTAGTGGGAAAATCAGGTTGTAATTGCCTTTTTTATGATTGAAAAGCACATTCATATTTGTTTATGCTGATGGATAAGCAGGGCAGGCAAAAATACCCAGATTTGGCGGGAAACCCAGATGAATGCGCAGTCCTGATGGGGCGACAGCAGCAGTAGCAGCATCCGCTGTGGCAGCGGCAACAGTCGAGCGGCAGACTCGATGCAGCAGAGCCAGAGATTCCGGCATTACGTATACGCCCAGTCTACGTCGAGTTGGCCACGTGTACGGACACGCGGCGCGGTTCGCTTCCTTCGGTGGCAGCATATTCGTTAACAACAATTCATTACCAAAAACTTCGTGACTTGGTGTTAAAAAAAATACACACAATAAAGGATTTTGAAATGTTAAAAACTTAATTTTCCTAAATATTTCAAAAAACTTTTTTTTTATTGGTTTTTTTTGTACAAGTGCAAGTGTAAGTGTATGGTGAAAAGTGTGCCGGCTTCAAAATGCGCGCCAAAAATTGAGCGGTAACAAAAACAAATAAAGACAACATTTTCAAATCAATCGAAGGAGACAACATAAATAGTAATATACATATATATATATATATCTATATAAATTTAACAAGCAAACACATAGTTAGGTTGCGCCTTTACAATGTAAACAAATAGTTTGTTCGTGCTTTTCATAAAATAACAAGTTTATTTGCTAATTAGTGAGTTTGTGACAATATCAATTAGCAAAGGATAACAAATAGTAAAAAAAAATACCCTATTAATATAAAAATAATATTTAACAAACGTTGCATCAATAAATTTTGAGATAATATTAATCAAATCAAGTTGTATGACTCTTCTATCTGAAAGAAAATGGAATATATTGGTATTTTATGAGCTAAAGGCCAGATTACATTCTGCTTTAAGCTGGTGGTGCTAAAAGTTTTACTGTTTTACTATCATTATGTAGTTTAAAAGCTTTTTAAAATAATGTAATTTTTGTGGTTTCTGGCTTTGCTTCTTTATAAAATCAAACTTTGTCTGAATTTTATGAAATTAATATTTTAAAATCTTTACTTTTTTAGAATAACGAATACGAATTCATTAATGTATTTGCCGGGATTACACAAATCGGGAATATTTTCAATTGTTTCGAGTAATGTAATATTTAAGCCACCTGAAAAATTATTAAACAATCATTGAGCATATATTTATTGATAGTTAAACATTTTGAAAAACCAAATATCCTCAGTCTAAACATTTTTATAGCTATTTTTTTATTTTTTAGTTTTTTATTGTTCACATAAGTATAGGTTGATCTTTCAATAAATGGTAAATTTAATGTTTTATGTCGTATACATTTGGAAATTTTACCGTATTTTCTGTGTATCCCGTATAGATAAGTTTGGGGCCACTTAGCGAATTGGCGGACATATTTTTAGACATAGCCCAAATAGTAAAAAACAAGAGCACAAGGAAAAAAAGAGGGAAAATGTATTAAAACCGACGACAAGAACGTAAAAGCTATATAGAATCGAGTAAAAATGAGAGAAATTCATTAATAAAAGAAAGAAACAAAAACAAGAGCAAAAATTAAGCGGCTGCCATCAAGTTTTCCCCTTCCCATTTTCCCCTGCCTATTCCCTTCCGATTTTCCCGCTTTTCCTTGTCCGGCACAGCTGTGATCACAAGAAAAGAAAAGAAAAAATTCGGAAAAATGAAAATGAAAATTATTACGTATGCGTGTTGGGCATTTTGTTGTATTTGCTGTTGTTATTGAAAACGAATTTTCCGAGCTACAACTACAACAATTTTGATAGCGGCAACTTTGACGAAGGTTTTTCTTCAAATTTTCTTTAGATACCCTTTCTACGCATTGTTACGTTCGGAAATGATGAACTAAGGAGTAAAGTGGAATTCAAATAGTCTGTTTTTAAAATTGTAGTTAAAATTTCAGTGGCAAATAAATCATTATAATGAAAAGCTTTTTAATTACTAATAAGCTTATGCTATTATTAGTTATTATTTTTTTTTGTATTACAATTAAAATTAAGTAGGTATTAAATAAAAAAATTTAATAAGATAGGCACAAAAATAATATATTTTTTAATAATGCTTATATTCAATAGGTACTCAGCTAGTTTTAATTGTCATTTACTTGATAACCCTGCGATTTTCTTTAGTTTTTCGCTGTCTCAATGAATTCACTAGACTTCCAATACGCCTGTCTCTTTCGTACAATGTGTAGCATCTCTTTCTATTGGTGGCTGGCAAAGTTTTGCATTATGTTCATCTCGGCTGGCGCTCTTCTATATCCCATTCCCACATATGTGGCTCAAGGCTATCGCAATACCCAGCGCCCTCGTCGATTTCTTAGTTTTATTTCTCATTTTCCATACATTTTTGCTGCTCTCATTTTGGTTTTCTTTACTTTTAAGCATCTTGCCCTCATAAATTTGGGCGAGGCAAACAAAATGTTTGTGGTGAAGTTTTTTTGCGAAGGCTTTGTTAGGGTAACAATGGAATGATTTCTGATGGAAATTAATGCAATGTTGACCCATGCAGCTGATAATGTGAAAAAGGTTTATTTTTCCATTTCAAGGGCATAGATTAAAGAAAAAAAAAACTACGCTCTTCTCAAATAAATAATATGCAAGTTATCGTTTTTAGGAATTCACAGATTAAAACAATTTTCATAAACTAAGAATGGTTTTTTAAATTTTCCATTGACTTTAGTTAATTTACTGCACAATAAAGTTCTTATCCTTGAATTAATTTTCCTTTCTTTTTTACCCATTTCTTAGTACCATTTGGTTTTATCTCCCTCCGGTTTCTGTGGGATTAAATTTTTTTCAATTTTTGGTACCATTTATTTCAATAAAATTAAGCCAGAAGTTTTTGTTGTTAAACCCAAACTTCCTTTTACGATTTTCCTGCTTTTGGTTAGCTTAACTGCCTTCCGCCTCCTTTGACCACCCATTTCTTTTGTGTCCAGAGCAACAGGTTCTCTCATTTGCTGGGGTTTCTTGTTATTTATTTGTATTTTTTTTTTGATTATTATACCCTTGCAGAGGGTATTATAATTTTGGTCAAAAGTGTGCAACGCAGTGAAGGAGACATCTCCGACCCTATAAAGTATATATATTCTTGATCAGGATCACCTCCTGAGTTGATATAGCCATGTCCGTCTGTCCGTCTGTCCGTCTGTCCGTCTGTCCGTCTGTCCGTCTGTCCGTCTGTCCGTCTGTCCGTCTGTCTGTCCGTCTGTCTGTTTCTACGCGAACTAGTCTCTCAGTTTTAAAGATATCGAATTGAAACTTTGCACACACCCTTCTTTCCTTTGCACGCAGTATATAAGTCGGAACGGCCGGGATCGGCCGACTATATCCTATAGCTGCCATATAACTGATTGATCGGAAATGCCATAACTCTGCTGTTTGTTAGGTTAGGAAGTTGGGACTTTCTATGGGTTTTATATTTGGCCAATCAATCCGACGTACCAAATTTCATAAGGATCGGCCGACTATATCTTATAGCTGCCATATAACTGATTGATCGGAAATGCCATAACTTTGGTGTTTGTAAAGTTAGGAAGTTGGGATTTTCTATGGGTTTTATATTTGGCCAATCAATCCGACGTACCGAATTTCATAAGGATCGGCCGACTATATCTTATAGCTGCCATATAACTGATTGATCGGAAATGCCATAACTTTGGTGTTTGTAAAGTTAGGAAGTTGGGATTTTCTATGGGTTTTATATTTGGCCAATCAATCAGACGTACCAAATTTCATAAGGATCGGCCGACTATATCTTATAGCTGCCATATAACTGATTGATCGGAAATGCCATAACTTTGGTGTTTGTTAAGTTAGGAAGTTGGGATTTTCTATGGGTTTTATTTTTGCCTAATCAATCCGACATATTAAATTTCATAAGGATCGGCCGACTATATTCTATAACTGCCATATAACTGAACGATTGGAAATGCCATAACTTTGGTGTTTTTAAAGTTAGGAAGTTGGGATTTTTTATGAGTATTAAGAATGCATTATGAATGATTTTGGAGAATATAATTTGCAGAATATTCTGCAAGGGTATTTCAACTTCGGCTCCGCCCGAAGTTAGCTTTCCTTTCTTGTTTTCATTATTCTCGTATTATTTTTGGCCGAATAAGTGCGGTGCAAGAGCCTTTTTGCATTGTGCTGAATTTTCCCAGCGATTTGCCGTGGAATGTGAAACTAATTGCAGCTGGATTTGGGTGGGTAGAAAACGCAATGGCGTACAACTAATCAGAACGGAAAAAGAGCAGAAAATTCGGGGAATGGGAATGGGCCTTTCTGGCCGGGGAAAGCCAAAAGAAAAACGATTTCAATAAATGTCATAAATTTGCCCGACAACTTTACAAAGGGGCGGGGGAAGTGGAAAAGCAAAGGAAATGGCTTTTCCTCACCCCGCTCTCCCCTCTGATTATCGTCTGCTTTGCTGTCGGCTTGTAATCGCTTTCATTACAGCAAAAAAGGAAAAACGAAAACTGACCAAAAATAATAAAATAAAAAAGCAAAGCGGGAAAGAAGCAAAATGCAAAATGCCATGAAAATGGAAAACCAACATGGCCTTATTCACAAAGAGAGTGAAAGAGACGGACAGATAAAGAACTGCTTTCACTTTTTGGCTTTTCCTCGTTGGCAGTCATTTATTTGATTATATTTTTATTTTTTTACTTATTATGATGAATTTAAACTGCTGTCCTGTAAAGAATAGATCTTTTATAAATATCTTAACCAATTTACTGCGGTTTCTGTGGGATTTTTCTTATCTTTTGTGTACATTTTTTTTACGTTGCGGCCACTGCAGAAATTTGGGCCACAACAAAGCCAAAGATGTAAAGTGAAAAATCTCATTTATTTATATGTAGGTATGTTGTGTGTATCTGCACATTGTCATGGGAGCTGTCGGCTATATGACCTGATTGCGGTTATGGGTACAAGTCTTAACTAAATGTCTCAGGAAACGAAAAACAATGGTTTGCAGCGGAGATGGCAATTAGCAAAAAAATATTCAAACAGTTATTTTGCAACGAGCAGTGGTTGTGTTTTCGAAAAGTAAAAAGAACCAAACAGCCTTAGCTGGCAATTCATCTTAAATGTTATTCTGTGTTTTTTTAGAGTCCATAATCACAACAAACTTGATCCAATTTAAGTAAAGATTTTGTGTCATAATTGACTATTTTGGTATTTCATTTATTTTGAAACATCTGAAAAAATAAAGTTAAATTTTTCATAGCCAGGAAAGATTTAACAAAAAAGTAATTTAAGAATACATAGTAGAAATACCTGCAATATAAATACGCTAGAAAATTTCTATGAATTGGAAAATTAAAACAATTAATGCATAAAGCACACATTTGTTATATATGGTTGTGTTTATTTAAAAGTCTGGCCAACTAAAAAGTTAGGATCAATTAAAGTATTTTCGCAGCGAGTTCCCCAAGGTAATAGCTCAGCAAAAAAATATACAATTTTTCCCGTTGGGTATGTATTTAGTGTTAGCAAATTGCAAAATACTTTCGCTCTATGATTTCATATCATGTTTGGCATTAAACTGCACTTGTTTTTCGGTATGCAAAATGTCCATTATATGTCTACTTTGTATACGTAAAATTCGACTATGAAATTGGCAGACTGCATTGTCAACGAAAAATAGTCGAAATTGTGTCTAATCTTTTGTGTTTTATATACAATGTTCTGTTATTTTTTGTTATTTGTTATCAGGTATACGTGTGTACATTGCCAGCGGGTTAAATTAGCGAAATTATAAAACAGACAGCGATCGATGTTACACAAAAATCCATTACTAAAGGTGGACGGCGCTGTCGCAGCTCGGCTGCGTTGATGCCGGCGTTGACGTCAACCTTCGCAGCAAACTAAAAGAATTTGGTTCAAGTGCCAAATGAAATATTGACTAGGCAACGAGGACTGCGAAGATGAGACTCTGAGACTCTGAGACACTAAGACTGCGAGACTGCGAGACTCACAGACTCTCAGACCATAGGAATCTGGGCATATGGCGGCGCGTGTGTGACCAGTTCCTCCCATTCCACCAGTCAACCCAATCGCCAACGCACATCGCGTTGTTGCTCTAAAATAATAATAAACATGGCAAATATTCATTCCTTATAGACAACGCGGTAGCATGCGGGGCACAGTGGGTCCAGAAATGGGTCTTCTGTTCTTGTTTTGCATTTAATTAAAACATTAAGATAATTAAGGTGTCTGGTGCGCAGATGGTGCCATATTTGAAGCAACTTCTTGTGAAGTTTCGTCATACATTGATGGTAACCGCTGTTTTTTATAAAATCCATTAAACTTGAAAAACATGGATCTAAAATTACCGAGTCACAACTTTGATATTTGTAGGTATTAGAGTAGATAAGTAGATAACTTTTTTTATTTATATCAATTTTTAAAGGAAAATAATTTTATATAGAAGCTCTTATGAAAAGTATTTATATCTAAGACCATAGAAAAATTCAGATAGATAGGTATAATTCTGGCACTAAACTGTATTTATGTAATAATAGTAAAGCTCTTTAACAAAGTTTAGTTTTTGTAAAGCAAGCTTACTTGTTAAGTAAAATAAAAATACAAATTCAGCGACACTGGAACTATTTTTGAATGCCAGATTGCCTAAGTTATTTTGTATAAAAGGACAAGAATAATGATTAGTTAATTCGTTTTAATTTTTTTCTATCCAAATGAAGGGTGTCTAAATAGTCGTTTTTAGTGACTTTCCAAGTTCAACGCGTGTTTAGACTGCGAGAGCAACGACGTTGCTGGTGGGTTGATGTTGCTGCTGTTGCTCCTGATGTTGCTGCTGTGATGTGTGTGTTGCTGTTGGCGCTGTAGTTGCGACAACTACATAAACAGCTGTCATGGCCCTGCGACCGCTGCAATCGCTGCTCTGCTCTTCAGCTTTTTCCCCAGCGTTTCTCCCTCTCTTTCTGTCTGCCGGGGGCCCTCTCTTTCGCTCGGCCTCGTGGCGTCTGCTTCTTTCTAATAATAAAGCCAAAGAATTTGTGTTTGCCTGCAGCGGCAAACATGTCTGCTTTTTTTTTTTTTTTTTTTTGCCCGCCTGCCGAGCATCTTAAAGGTGCAATATCCAAGTCATTTTTCACTTTCACTTTTTAGCCGTACGTAATTTTCCCGGCCTTTGTTTTTGTTGCCAGCGATAATCAGCTTTAACATAATGTGAATTTCTGAGCAGTCGGGAATTCTAGTTGGCTATAAGCTCGGAAAGCTTGTGAGAGACGTCAAGGTTAGATACAGTGCCTGTCAGTTCGTTAGGCAATGCTTTTATGTTAAAAATAGCAAATAAATCTTTGGATATACTTACATATATGTACATATAAAAACAATACTTAACAAAACACAGAAATATTATTTTGCCACCTGTTTTTTGTTGACTTTTTTTTTCTGTTTTGCACTTATTGTTTCGAGTTAAATCTTATTTCTATTTTCTTTTCTAAATATTGTCACTCATGGGTTTTTCATATCTGAACTTCCTCATCATATTGACAAATTGCACTAAAATTATTTATATAAAAATTAATCTGGATTTCATGTTACTTTTGAGACTTGTCTACATATATAATATATAAATATTATTTTTTGATTGTCATTTTATTTCAGTTTATGAATTTTTTAACTTACTGTATAAATTCTTGGACATTTGTGTCGCCAAAAGTTTTCGTCATCCTCTTGATTGCGAATGCTCTTAATTGAATTCGTTTGCCTGCACCGAGAAATATGTGGGGAAAATAAAATGATATAATATTTGAAAAACCCATTCGCAAATTGTGCAAGTTTTACGTGTTTGTTGCTGCATTTGCCCTAATTGTTGTTGTTATTGCGGCAGAGGACAACAGTGGGAAAGTGGGAAAAATGAACTGAGCTGCAGAAAGTTTTTCCTTTGCGCTGAGCGTTTTTCAATTGCTCCGAAAACTATTTTACTTATGTTTACCTTTCACTTACCAATGGTGGCAAACTTTCCACGGTAACTGAATGCCGCCGAGAAGGGCTCAAAGGAGGATCACCCTATATATAAATTGCTTGGGTCAGAACAATAGTATTGGTATTGGTATTAGTATTAGCTTTGAAACATCAAACATAGTTGAGGCTAACAGAAACGATTTTTGCAGGAATTCTTTTATTTTTGATTAAAAAAATACTTTATATATACTTATTTATATAATAAGTCTTTTTTATTTTTATTTTTATATTTAAAAAAAAACAGTATTTACTGAATGGATAAAATAAAGAGCTTTTAATTTAATGTTTATTAAATAACTTGTAAGCATTACCTAATAAAATCAATACAGTTGAGCGAAGGCAAGAGTTTTATGAAGAGATTTAGCATTTTTGTCCTATTATTTTGAACGCCGCTGTCTGAACTAAATGTGTCTGCCTGTCTGCGTCGCTTTCAACTGCGAGATATTAATTAATAATTGAAATAACTGAGCTCGTTATAAAGCGAGGCACTTTCGGGCACGCAATACCCTGGCATAAAAACACCCCCTAACCCAGTAACCACCCCCCAGGGGCACCCGTGTGTGCAGCAGTGTGTGTGCAGTTTCAAGTTTAATTTAAAGTTTAGTTGTAATTTTGAACATTTTTCGTTGCGAGGGCAATTAAAAATTCAACGCGCAATCTACAAAATGAACCCCCAAACGAGCCGTGGGCAAAAAACGGCGGCGGAAAAAATGTGAAAATTTTTTCCAGCCTGTAGGAGTCATTTGGCAGCTTTCCACGACTCTCTATTTATTTATTTATATGATCTGCCTTAATTCTCACTGCACAAATTAATGATGAACATTCTCCTTTTAATCTTTTGCAGAATAATCTAAATATTTATGTGGAGATCTAAGGACTAGCAATTTTTAAAGTCAATGGCTTATGCTTAACAAACGCTCTGTTCATCGTCTGGATTTTTGCGGTAAGTGTTAAATATGCTTATTAATTAATGCCACAAAATAATCGCAAAAATCCAACAAAATTAAGCACCTAAAGCCGCAGCAATTTGAATCGCGAGGGAGTTTGATGTTTGCTTGTAAACCATAAATTAAGCGACCACAAAACAATTGTCCTCGTTAACATGAATGGAAAAACCAGTTTTGTATTATTTATTAATAAAAAAAATGCCTTAAAAAACAATTAGTGGGGAAAAAACATCAACATTTGGTTTTGAACGGTTTGAATTGGCCTTTGGGCTGCTATCTTAAATGGAATTTAAGTAAACATACAAATTTATCTGCGTAATAAATGAAAATTATTTATATGTGATATATGCGTTTGTTTTGCATTTAAATTGAAGCGTTTTAGTGATTTTGTGTTTAATTACACTTTGAAAATAAACGAGCCATTATGATTATTTCCTAATTAATTCACTCTGTTTGCTCGCGCATTATATTTACATAGCCCAACCTGATAGCCATGTATATTTGTTGTGGCTTTGCAATTTAATATTAATTTGAATACTAACATTTTAAGCAGTGGTTAGTATTTGCTAACATACTTGGTAATTATGGTTTCAAGTGTATACTTCATTCTTCAAAATATTTAAATATATATATTAATATATATATTTATTATATATTAATTGAAGATAAGTTTGGTTTTTTTTATTTGATTAATATTTAAAATTTTTTTTCTCACTGCAACCCTCTCTTATACTAATTATTATTTTATTTTTTAAGCACTGCTTCAATTGGGTATACTTAGTCCTACGATAGAGCATTTATAAGCCGTATTCAAATAAGAAATGCAACTTAGTTACAGATGATAGTATTCACCTGCACTATAAATAATTTTGATTTTTCATTCAATTTCTCGTTTGTCTTTTTTGCAGTTGTGAACTTAGGCTTCTCTATTTCATTTTGTGATAACTGTCACAAACAAATTATATTTTGCTGAATTTCAATACAAATCATATTTGTTTAATTTATTTGTATCGGCTTATTTTTTGGAGCTGTGAGTGTTGATTTCATAAAACAGGAATATTTATTTCATGAACTGTTTTGAGCTTAGGCATTTATTTATTTTCGTTAAGCTTTGCTATGTTTGTAAAAGCCGGTATTTAATATCAATTTACATCCATTTGGCCATTTGATGAGTGTCTGATGAATGAATGAATGTGTGACAAAATTCGCTGACTTTTCCTTGGCCAGGATGCCAATGCAGCTGTGAGATGTTGTTCCAAGTGATGGCGTATCTGTGTGTGGACACCCGGAGTATCTCTGTTTGTCCCACTGGGCGTATGGGTGATTTTTTTCTCTCTGTGTGTGTGTGTGGGGTGGCGTGCGTGTGAATGCGAATGCGTTATATTCGGCCAACTGTGCAAAAACAATTCACGCGCCACTTTGGGCCATAAAAAAACGCAGAGATATTTAATACATACATATATATGTACACACACCGACATAGATATATATACCATGTTGTCGGCGAAAGCTGAGCGCAACGCAACCAAAAACCCATTTTTGCATTTAAAGTTTTGGGCATTTTATTGCGCCGGCCTCTTTTTGGGTAATGGCAAAAAGTATCCTTAGCCGGGGTCCTTCCATGTTGTTTCAATTTCGCCTCCCCAATTTTTTCTGTCGGCTATTCGTGAGGCTTTATTTTTTGGCGGTCGTCGAATGCCCCAGTGAAATATGATAAAAGTCAGACGCGACGCAACGCGGTCCTCCGCTGTGGCGCTTTGCGTTTTGATTTGTGTTGCTGACCCAAAAAAAAAAGTAAGGGGACAAGCAAAATATATCAAAACACAGAGAAAAGTGGTAAAAATCGAGTTTTTTAAGTCCCCTGATCCCATTTTGTAGCATTAAACGTTTTTTTTTTCATGGGAACAGTTAATTGTAAAGACATTTTCAGAAAAGTGCGCTTTTCTTTAGAAAATATTAAGTAGCAGATAAGTTATGACCTCTTGAAAATGAATTAAATATTTTTATCCCGGGATTTATTTTTAAATTTGAGCCATCTTTGCCAGTTTTAAACTTACCATTATTAACTTATTTTTATGGTGTTATTAGAGATTTTAGAAGTTTACTTTGAAAAGGCAAAAAGCCAAAACAATAAAGCACAAGCCGTTTTCCCTAAGTAGTCAACACTTCCGCAGACGGGGTCAAAGGTTAAAGGCCACTAAATTTATGGAACGAATGCCTGACTAAAGGCGTGAGAAATTCCTGGGTTATTTCGGAGAAATAATGTAGATGAAGCAGCAGAAGAAAATAGTCAATATACAAGAAGGGTATATAAATATATATTTTTTAAATCAATTGGTTATTCTCCCACTCTTTTAATTTATCAAGAAAGAGCAGCCACACTGAGTATTGTTTATCAACATTAGTATTGAAAGTAATATAAAATGCAGTCAGATGTTTGTAAAGATGAACTACAATTAATTAATTTAAATTTCATTAAAACTTAAAGTCGGTTCACATGAACAAATGTGCCCAATTACTTTAAAAAGTTGTAAAATAAACTTGGACTTGATTTTTAAGCAATAAATAATCATGAACTGCCAGCTGTGTAACAATTTCTGCAAGCATACCTTTTATTAAGACATTCACGCAACTCAAATTTACGAAAATGTAAAACATACATCAGCGTATATCAGTCTGAAGGAAAAGCTACAACAAGCCATGAATAACCAGGAATCAAGGACTATTTTTGCCACGCTGATTTAGGGACTTGGGGAGATTTTCCGCGAGATTTTCCGGCCCCACTTGGGACCACCGACGGCATATCAAGGATGCTTATCGACAAATAAATTCTTTGCCCTGTCAAATGCCCGGCACCAGCCCAAGTGGGTGGCCCAGCGGTGGTATATGGCGGGATATAATAAATAGCCTGACATAGTAATGCCACAGACACTAACTCACAACTGTCGCACTGTTGTTGGTTTGGGGCCCACCGAGTCCTCGACCGAAAAGTTGACGCCTATAAAACGGATATGGATGTGCACCAAACTGTGGCATACTTTTCTGCAGCCCTCCCCCCTGCGGCCACCCCCTCCCCCCTCCTCGCCTCTCCAAAAGTGTTGACAAATTTATGAGCTTGTTTTGCTTTTTCGCAATTTCTGTTCGGCTGATTGAAAGTTTTCTTTATTTTGCCGCCGGGCAAATTGATGACAATTGAAGGGAGAGTGGGCCAGACAGCTTAATCGTTCGTGTTCTATATTTAGTTATATTAATAATGGCTTTGATTGATTGGAAAAGTAATTTCAGATCCAGGCTAGCTAGTCCGAATTAATTTCAATCGAGATAGGCAATATTTTGTATTGCCCTTCCATGGAAATTCATAAGGTTGATCGACAATCGCAGTCGCACTATTTTGACCTACAAACACACTTGTCTTTCTTGTATAATCAGTGACACATTTATTTATTGCTTTGGAATAGTTAACCATTAATTCACACTTGGCTTGCTATGTTCTTTGAAAAAGTGAAAAAAAATTCTGTAAATCCAATTTGCTTTGCCAAGTGAGCCTTAGCCGGCGTGGCAATCCTAGTTGCGCCTGGCGTCGCAGTTGTCGACGAGACTGGCCTGGCGGCATGTCTTCAGCTGGCGATCGAACCAGGTGCCGCTGGGGCAGTTCTGGCGCCTGGACCTCTGCCGGCTGCACACGTAGTAGCGGCGGCAGTGGCGCACGTCGGCCAGGAAGGTACCGTCGTCCTGGCCACGGCAGTCGTGGCGCGAGACCAGCACCTGGGCGAGTTCTTTGGTCTCGATACCAACGGCATCGGTGGAATCAACAAGATTTTCGGGAAGTGGAATAAGGGGCGTAGTGGTGAGTGGTGGAGAGCAGGTTGTGGTGCAAGTGGTGGTGCAGGGAGGGGTGCAGGTGGGAGTGCAGGTTGTGGTGCAGGGTGGGGTGCAGGGTGGGGTGCAGGGTGGGGTGCAGGGTGGGGTGCAGGGTGGGGTGCAGGGTGGGGTGCAGGGGGGCGTCCTGGTGCACGGCGGTGGCTCTTCGGTGCAGGGCGGTGGGGTCCTTGTGCACGGCGGTGGCTCTCGGGTGCAGGGAGGGGGGTTCGGGTGCAGGGTGGTGGGGTTCGGGTGCACGGAGGAGGAGTGCAGGTGGTGGTGCACGGCTCTGGAGGCGGAGTGCATGGTGGAGGAGTGCAAGTGGTGGTGCACGGCTCCGGCGGTGGGGTGCATGGAGGAGGAGTGCACGTGGTGGTGGTGCACGGCTCCGGAGTGCATGTAGTGGTGGTGCACGGCTCCGGAGTGCATGTGGTCGTGGTGCACGGCTCCGGAGTGCATGTAGTGGTGGTGCACGGCTCCGGAGTGCATGTGGTTGTGGTGCATGGTTCCGGAGTTGGAGTACAAGGCGTAACCTCAATCCTGGGTGGATTGGCCAGTGCCTCCCGACCGCCGGCGATCACCGCCAAACCGAATCCAATCAGCAGCAAGTGGTCTGCAAGAAACACATATAAAAAAAAAGCACTCTTGAGTTTCCCGATCGAAGGACTTGGCCCGGAGCTACCCACAAACTCTCATGTTGCGTTCGATAATGCTTCTGCTACTGCAGTTTCAACTTCTCTGCTGGTTAACGAATGTTGTGTGCTCCGATCGGGTTTGCTTTTATACCTCCTCGCAGTCCGGATTTTATCTCGGTCGGGAACGAGGCAACCACTTGAGATCCGTCGAGTGGGACACGGACCGTGATCCCCGAGTCTGGGGCACTCTGCTAATTAACCACATTAACGGTCGTGCTGGTTGAGGGTTCCGGGTTTTGTCCATGTAAACAACCTGTTTTTCACATCTCAAGTGCAATGTTTTCGCCCTCGCCGTTTGCTTACAATGTTTTTAAAAAATCAAACACATTTTATATTTCATTAATTTCTTATTCGCCACTTGCAGTACTGAAGGAAAAACTTGACTAATAAAATGTTGTACTTGGAATATATTGGTTCTTAAAATATATTAATAATACACTGCCGAGTTGAAAGGAATTGGTTAAGAATATCGCGATTACTTTAAATCATTATAATTTTTACTAATTACTTTACATTTTTTTGACTACTAATCAATATGTGTACTGTCAAAATATTGAGACGTTCGCTCGAAAAGGCTTTGTATTTCTTATAGCATTAAATAAATTACTATGATGAGAATATATATTTCAATATCAATATTTTATCAAAAAATAATGTAATAGTATAATTTAAATAATAATAAGTAAATTCAATTGGACTCCTAGAAATCTGTACTTATTTTGAAATTGTTTTAAATATTATGTATACAAATATCAAAATCTTATACATAGCAAGTGTTTTTTTGCTTTAATAGCAGAATTAAAAAGAATCAATAATTATCGCTTGAATTACAAGCAAAAAATAAATAAAAATTGGCAGTACAAAATCTTGATTTTTCGATATCGTTTTCACAAGTGAGACCCATTCCCACATACACTGATGGAATTGACATTTGGCTCGGGCTCGGGTCATTTGGGCACGCCGTACGCAGTCTGTAAAATAGTTGAAATTGCCTGTTAACTGTTTTCCTGGCCCCGCCCCCTTTTTGGCCATTGCGCCTTGAATCCGGGCCAGTGCAAACAAGAGATTTCGGTTTATGGCCCCGGCCCGGAAGTGTTAGGCTGGGCGACCAAGTGGCCGAGAGCGGACGAGTGGACAAGTGTCGGCCATTTGGCAGCCGATAAAAATGGCAAAGAGCCTAAGGGGGCGTGTGTGTATGTGGGTATGCGTAATAATTTCCCATGAAATCACCCCTCCCCTCCCCCTCCCCCTCCACCATCACCCATTCGAACAAGCAACCTTTCCTGCAGCGCGGTTGTAAAAACAAAAAAATATCCACCATATCCCCCGTGTGTCCCGTATGTCGTGGACAGCTCGATGGGCGGGGAAAAGCGTTGGACAGTTGGCAAAAGTTTTGTAATTAAATATGGTTGTTGCAGTTAAGATTTATGACCGATTTTTATAACAGTTACCCAGTCCTGTATTGGTTTAATGGGTGAAATGAGCCGGAATCCCATGTAAGCGTTTTGACAACTTCAAAGATTTCGAGTCGAATAGCTGTGAAGATTTTCCATTTTCATGTATTTTATTTAGATTACTTTTTCTTAAAAATTAGATTATTAGAGCAAAGTAATTAAGTCCAGATTAATATATGTTGACTACAAACTTACAAATAGATATTATCATTTATAGAAATTGTATATGATATATTCAATTAAGAATGTTTATATTAAAAAGAATATTAAAGGCTTAATATTTCTTATAAAAAATATCAAATAATAAAAGTGTGGAAATAAAATTATAATTGTTGTTAAAGAAAGAGTTTATTTAATTGTATACTTTTTAAAAGGGGTACAATCTATGTTGTCATATATTTTTAAACATTTTTCAAAAGGCAAATAAAGAAGCGATGACACAAATCTGGCCACCCACTTTTACCCTTTGAACTTAGGCTATGCGATCGTAAATAATTATTTATTTAAAGTGTAGAATATTCCCAAACGGCATAAGCAAACAGAATCAATTGTTGTCGCTTTGGAATATTTATGCACGCATTTATATTCCGACATCTGTTGGGTTTTTGGAGGTGCCTTTTGTCCGACTTTTTTGAGTTGGGTATTGTTGAGGCTGCACAATTATGTGAGTGGAGTTTTAATTTATATTCAAAGTGTTGAGTGTTTTAAAGCCCTTCAAAGCCCAAAACTTTCATTCGTTATGGTTCAATTGGATTGAGTTTAATTCACTTTGTTTCATTCACTTAGCACTCGTAAAGCTACACCCTCGCCAACAAACACGACTTGGCCATTTGCCGAGCAAAATTACTCATACGCAGCGTGTGATGTGAATATTAAAAAGCAGCAACGTTTATGATAAATCCGCCTTTCTTCGTCTGCGAGTGTGCAGAAGTGTTTATGTACACTTATATATATGTGAATAGTTGGCGAAACAATCTCGGATTATGAATGAACTTTGGCCAGTTGGTTTAGACGGAGATATGCACAAAATAGTTGAGTTTCTTCGAGATTATGAATGAATCACTTTGCGGCTAAAAAGTTGGCTGTGATTTAAGCGATAGCCGAGAAACTTTCCAGACGAGAAAGCGGTTCAAAACTTTAAGGAGTTTAATCATTACCAGGGATTCCAGATCATTTAAGTTTTCTTTGGAATACCTTTTAGCTTGAAATAAGAACTTATATTTTCTTTTAGAGCAGGAAAAAACTGTATAAATTAAATGTTTTTTTAATTGCTAATAAAATCAGTTTCAACAAAATTTTAGAACACTTGCTAAAACACTGTGCAATGAAAGAATAAACATCTAAAAAATAAATGCTTGTCTTAATAACACCGTTTATATTTTTTTTTCTTCAATATAGTTTGTGTTTAAATAGTTTAAATGTATAGATGTAGGAAAAATTGAATTAAAATAGCTAGTGGAACAAGTTCAAGATGTTTTATTTTATACCCTAAATTCTTTTTGCTTGTCCATTGGCTCAAAAAGGGGTTTTAACATGGTTTATCCATCTCTGTTGCTTGACTTTCTTATCGAATTATGTAGTAAATTGAATTTAAAATATGTATATTTTAAAAATTTTCGAATAGTTCACACACACGCCAGCCAAATTATTTACTTTGCTGTTGAGAGTGGCAGCTTCACCTCATCCTTTTTTCAGGTTTTGGAAAGGGACCTTTTCACTTATCTCTGACCAGCCAAGACCATCTCAATGAATTAGTCGAGCAACATAAATTAAGCACTTAACTGTTGTAAAGTTTTTCCTTAAGCGGAGGCAGCTTCCTCCGTAAAAGATGACCTCGCCCAACAAAAGACAAACAGAGACACGGCTCAATGGAAATGCCCATCTCTCTTCTCACACCCTCGGCCCGAGATGAAGAATGGGAAATTAAATTAAGCACACACACACGCCTGTTTGTGCAAGGAAGGATTGGATTTAAGGACTGTTTGTGCAAGGACATTGGATCAACAATTTCCAAGGCTCGAGTGTGTGTGCTATGAGGCATTGTAAAAGTCATTAGTGAAGTGACCGGAAATCTTATGAAATCTACAAAAAAGTGAGAAACAAAGTAACAACGAAACCGAAAATAAAAGACAATCTTAAAGGCTTGCTCTCAGTCTACACAAGGAAAAAGTATAGCTATACTTATTATGTGATAAATTTAAAAAAAAAGGGTAAAGCTAAATTCTAAAATATACTCCAACAGATATGTAATTAGTTAATTATTTGGTATTATAGAACATTTAAACAGTGTTGAAGGCTCCTAGATTGTCATCGATTTAATTTTAGAGTTTCATTTTGTAACCTTTTTAATAAATATTTATATTTATAAAAAATATAAATCTATGTTACTAGATTTTAATATTAAACTAAGATCTTGCTAACCTTCCGTGAAGTTATTTTAAAATTCGAGCTGGCTATGATTTTCTCCCTGTGTGAACAAGGACTCTTCAGGGTGGCCGAGTGGGTGGTGGCCTGTGACAGGTTGGAGCAGTCATGCATGTACTTCAATTTTTCAGCAGAAATGAGTGCACATTTGACAAAACACACACTCGCTCACACCTTTCGGTGAGCCCAGGAGCCAGGCGAGTCCCTGCAGGACATATGTCCTGTCCCTCCGGCCCCTCCCCCCCCCCTCTCCCTCCCCCTCCCCTCGCCTACCACTTTACATGCTTTTTTTATCAGCTGCCGCTTCGAGCGGGCCAAACTCCAGGCACGAAAATATATGAAAACTTTGCACAAATATGTCCTGGCTGTCCGTGTGTGTGTGTGTGTGTGTGCGTGCCGCTGCCCGAGTATGGGTGTGTCTATGGTAGCCTAATTCCAGCTCATATTTTATAACAGCAGCAGAATCACTGCATCGGACTATACGGTTTTCTGTCAAGACAGCAAAATAAACCAACGGAAAATAAACAACAACAAAAAGAAACTATGAAAGCGGCAACAAAAAAAAAAAACGGGAGAAAACCGAAAAAATCTGTAAACACGACAGACCTGGACAGGGAACAAACTGTGGGACGTGAGGACCGTGTTTGGGTTAAAATCAGGGGGTGGGGCGTGAGAACTACGGATTTACTGAGCCGAACAGACAATAGTGGGTTAAGGCGATCCACAAAATGAGTAACGAACACTGGCGGGCTCTGCGACATATTCACTCAAGTAAAAAACGTTCATGTGCTATCAATTCAGCATAAATCAACATCAATTTATTACATTTCGAAAATAAAACAATTTATATCAAATATATTTTATTATTGTAGTATTTAATAGTATTGTTTCCGTTTTTAATGCATACCAATTTATCATATCTAATTAAAAGTAAGTGCTTAAATAATTGTTATGTTGCTATTGAAAAAAAGAACAATAAACTAAATTTTGGAGGGACTTTTACATTTTATTGAAGCATGTAAATCCGATGTAGCACAATGTAGCTCATAATAAATATAAATTTGTTTTGTGAAGCTCTTCAAATTGTTTGGAATTTATTAAGTCCCAACAAATCGTGGATACTTTTACACTGAAAAAACATGGTGGCTCTTGGTTGACTGGCTCACCTTTTCGATGGGACTTAATTACACAATTCCTGTTTTCCTTAAAATGTCATGGTC